CCCCGTGCCATGACGCCGGCGGAGGAGGAGCTTGAGAGCGAGCGAGTATGGCAAGGGTAGGGCGCAGGAAACGAAGAGTCAGAGCACAAGTGGCGAAGGCAAGGGGAAGAGTGGCGAGAGGAAGGAAACGAATCCCTTCCTTGGCGTCTTTGTACCCTTGCTATGCCTGGCTCCTCGCTTCCCGCGCCCACTACCTCGCCCCCTCGTTTCTCGCGCCCACGCCTCCACTAACCCCACTCGCCCGTTTGCAGCGCACGCGGCAGATGTGCGGCCGTGGCGGTTGAGATGGGGCAGATTGTGCGCGCATTAACTGCGCTTGCCAATCGTGAAAAGCGCCATCATCATGTCTCCAGGCGAAACGAACCGGCTCGTCCCGATTCGCACGCTGCTCGAGTAATGTTGCGGTCTTGAAGAGGCTGCTCATTATTGTCGGTCGGTTTTCCCTTGCCGATGCGCGCGATTTGCGACCGCTGGGTTTCTGCCCGCCTGTAGAGACCGGCCCAACCTGTCACCGGGCCTAAGGAGTGGCGTCACGCCCGAGCGCTTCCCTCGAGGGGGGCGATCGCCCTGGCGTAACGCCGGGGGCTACTGTCGGTGACATGGGACCGGGGGTATCGTGACTAGAGGCTTGAGTAGCCGCGGTCACCCCCGTGGCCTGACCCCCTCGGGGAGGTCGGGCCCGAGGGTGACATGGTCACCCCTCCCTCTGTCTCCCCGAGGGGTCGGGCCGTTCCCGTTTCGGCCCCGAGGGCTGGGACGCCCCGACCCCCTGTGGTTTTGGCGCCACGTGTGTGGGTTAGGTGAGCACGGCAGGGCTCACCTAACCGCATTTATTGCGGTTTGGACGAGCGCGCCACGCCGCATTTAATGCAGCGCAGCGCGCGCTTATCCGGTCCGTGACCGGTCGCAGTGTGTGACCGGTCACAGACCGGTCAGATCGCGGGTTAGGTGGCAACAGGCGGCCTGTCACACGCCTCGCCCCGTCCCGTCGGAATGATGAGAGCCTCCAGGCGCTCGTCCCTAGCCGGAGCCGGCGTGTTAACTCCTGGAGTTGGCACGTCAGTCCCGGCCAGATTCATTCCAGGCTTCATCGCAACCATGGCAAGGAAGTCATTGTATGAAGAAGGGCAGACGTGCGGCATGCTAAACTGACGCGTGGTGGACAAGAATGACCGGTTTGTGACTGGTCTGACGCCGGTCACGTCATCGGCAGACAACCATGCTCCCACGTTGCATCTGCTTTCGGCGGAGTGGAGGTAGGTATGACCCATCCCATCAGAGAGTCATTCGGACAGCGGCCATTGCAAATCTCCACCCATTAATGAGGAAATGACAGGGTTATCCCCTGTGTCAGGCGAGTGACGGCGCTGAGCCTCACTCAAGGACAAGCTGTGATTTAGCTTCCAGGCGAAGGCGCAAGCCAAGTTTTGGTGAAGATAGGGTGGGTCCCCACCCAAAAGAAGAGTAGGTAGAAGTGGTGCATGTGGTATCCCCTTGAGATATAAAAGGAGGACCTTGCCCACCGAAAAAAGGGGGGACGAGGAGGGGACTCTCAGACGACTCTTGCTCTCCAGCTCTCTGTAACTCCTTCACACACAGATCCACCAGAACACAGGAGTAGGGTATTACGCTTCTCAGCGGCCCGAACCTGTCTACGTCGCCCGTGTCTTGCGCATTTGTTCTCTCGCGAACTTTCCACAGATCGAGGGTGAAGAACCTCACTTAGCGCCCCCGGCCGAACCAGCAAAGGGGGGCCTGCGCGGTCTCCCGGTGAGGAGCCCCACGCTCCGTCAATCGGATATGTCATCTAGAGGGAGGAGGTGTGAATAGGCGTTTCTTGAAATTTTAAAAACTTGGAGTGGAATTAAGCCTAATAGGATAGTCCGGAACTACGTTGAACAATCCAACTATATATATATAGGTAGTCAGATAGTTCGGCTGCTCAAGGATAGCTCTGTCAATGCAGTGACAGGATCTCTCTTATCTTCTTCATATATGCTTGAAGTCACTCGCTCTTAGACCAGCTATGGTGGCATAGAGAGACGGCAACATCACGGTTTGAGGTCAGCTAGCGATAGTGGCGAGATCGAGGCTACATTGCTAAAGGCGACGAACGCGGGAACCATCAAGGCTGGTATGGCGATGCTAGTTGTGGAGAGGCAGAGCGAAGGGCCGTGGCATCGGAAGCTTAATCAAGAGCTTAGGGTGGAGTGCAGGGGCTTACATAGAATGGGTCTCAATTATTTGCCATTTTGATCCACGTATCATTCACCTATATATCCACTATCATAGAATCGACTTTTTAAATGAGACCCCTTAAAATTGTAGACGGACCATAATTCTCATGTATGTAAAAATCGATTTTCCAAGCATAGATCAAGAACCGCGTGTGAAAATCAATTTTCGCAGGCAAGCCTCTTAAAAGGCCCCTACTAAGAGACCCGCATGTGAAAATACATCTCTCTCCCCGCTCTTTTTTTTTCTCCCCTCCTCTCTCTCACTAAGTCCCATTAATTCCTCCCGTCCACTCCACTCGCACGCCTCTCCCCACTCCTCAACTCTCTTCTCACTCCTCCCTTATCTTCTCTTGTCCTCTCCTCAAAGCGATCGTGGCTCCCCCTCTCCTTCCTTCACCGTGGTCGCGATGACGGTGGTGACAGCCACGAAAATGACGATGGCAGCAAGTGGGCAGACGGGAGTGGCCTACGCCGGAGGGATTCGGTGACGGATGGGTGGGAGCGCCGGGCAATAGGGAGGGCGGATGCAACGGATCCGGCGGTGGCAGTGGATACAACGATGGGGAGGGTGGCGGCAGTGGAGAGCTTGTTGGCGGCGGGAGGCTTAGCGGCGTTGTATCAATCATGGGGTACCTCGGTTGGTGTCGATTAGGCGCGGGGACCTCCTTCCCCAACGAGGTGATGGCGGACGAGGGTGGCGGGCTTGGGCGAGAGGGATCCCACCGTCGGTGGCAACGGGAGGGCACTACAAGAATCTATTTAATCTGTGACGAAATCCGGCGCCCCCTCCCCCTCTGGTGCTGATCCGGTCGCCGCTCCACCTCCCATGTGTGCGAATCCACCGACGGCAGCGATGGGAAAGACGGGTCCGATGCCCCCTCCCCCTTCCGCATGGATCCCGCTGCCTCTCCACCACCCACACGCACAGATTTGCCGGTGGTTTCGAGCGATGATGACGGTAGCGACAGTGGCTTCAAGCGTCGACAGTGTCGGCGGCTTCTAAAATTCTAGTGTTGGGGTTTCAGGGCAACAGGAAATTGAATTTTGGGTTTTTTTTTTTGCGACTCTTCGTTTTCACAGTCGAACGGCTTATACATACACATGCCAAAATCGGATTTGCATAAACGGTTGCTCTATCCACATGAAAAATCCGATTTTCACATATATTTTGGTGCATGCAGGCTGTCCAGCCGTCAGTGAAAATCGATTTTGGCCATGTGCAAAAAATCAATTTGATGGTAGTGATCCTTCCTCTGATTGTAACGATAAGTAATCAAAGGGGCAAATAGTTAGAGCGACAAAACGTCAAATTTTCAGCCACTCTGTCTGGCTTGTCTCCACTCTCCGGATGCATGCATGGGATCGTGCACGTCTCACGGGTCATGGCGGAGACGTGCACGTCTTATGGCCTCACGGGCCGGGGGAGCATCCATCATTCCATATAGGCTCATAGCATACCGCTGGCGCGGAATGGAGGGCCGAGATTTTCTGACACACAAAATCGAACGGCACGGATGGCGCCTGATCGATCGACATATCGTCGCGATCGCACATATATATGTTCAAGCCTGTCAGTATCTGAGATTCCTTGCATTTTTTGATAGAAGCTTTGCATGCATGTTTCTTCCGCCAGGGTGTAGTACGCTGCACATGCGAATAGTTTTTCTCTTAGAGATTGATTTTTAAAAAAAATCTCCCTCGTTGCAAAATATAGTAATTTAAAAGATTTTAAAATTTATCTAAAACATAACAACTTTTCCACCAACAAACGCTTCTTAACCAATCATAACCTTTTTCATGTTTAATTTCTTCGTCTTCTCTTTTTTTTCCTTGGTCAATCACAAACTCGCTTCATTTAATTACACATACTCTCTTAATATTTAATATCGTGTATCCAGACTCAAAGTTTATTATATTTTAAACAAAGCGATACCTTTCATATCTACGTAACACACTAAAAACCTAAAGCTTAAGATGCAAGCATAACAATTATTAATTACTCCCTCTGTTTCGGGTTATAAGACGTTTTGACTTTGGTCAAAGTCAAATTGCTTTAAGTTCGATCAAGTTTATAAAAAAATTAGTAACTTTTTGAACCCAATACAAATTTATTATGAAAATATATTCAATTATTAGTATGATGAAACTAACTTAGTATTATAAAAATTGTTATATTTATCTATAAACTTAGTCAAACTTAGAACAGTTTGGCTTTAACCAAAGTCAAAACATGTTATAACCTAAAACGGAGTAAGAAGCATGCAAGGAAGTCAAACGCACCAAACACTAAAACATAAATATAACTACATACATCATCTACATATTATTACATTTTAAAGCTCAGTATATGAACATGTTAAATCGTTATTTCTCATGTCATTCTCACAATATTTTTATCCAAATTCATTCATCATTTCTACGTATCAGCGCCGGACTGACTATATATATGTCTACCTGACAAAATTAAGAAGCTCACGCAGCCAATAGAATTTGCCCGCGCCGCTGAATCCACACCCCTGGATCGGAACTAATCCGTATACGTTATCCAATCTGACGATTATCTGAAGATCGATGCGATATCCGTTCGATGAGCATCCGACGGCCACCGGCGGAGTTTGACGGGTCAAACCAAATGGCATCCGGCCAGCCGCACCATCGATCGGACGGCTGCGGTCAAACGTCAAAGCAGCTTCATTATTAAGCGTGCAGGACGCCAACAACGTCGCACGTAGGCATCAAGCTATTCAACTCTGGATGTCCACATTTTTATTCTAAGCACGCACGTCTATCCATTAATTACGCAGTTCGTACACGCACATGCATCGATCGCTGCACTACGTTGTGTATATATATACATTGGCAAGCTGAGCTAAGATAGTCATCAAGAGCTGAAAAATCTTCGTCTTCATCATGCGCCATTTTGAGCTCCTCCTCTTCCTCCTCCTCTGCTCGCCGTGCCTCTTCTCAGTCTCCGATGGGAGGACGGTGCGGCCCGCGAAACGGGGCGCCCCGTCGCCCCCCATTCGGGCGGTGAACCTTGGAGGTTGGCTCGTCACGGAGGGCTGGATCCTTCCCTCCCTCTTCGACGACATTCCAAACAAAGACCTCCTGGTAAGTACATTTGGATGATTAAAAACTTCAAAAATCTTATCAAATCTTATTCTAAACATCAAACATTTATGATCAGAGAACACGCTTTTCTATGCATTTTAGGATGGAACCCAGCTGCAATTCAAGTCGGTGACGCAGAACATGTACCTGTGCGCCGAGCAGGGCGGCGGCACCATCCTGGTGGCGAACCGGACGAGCGCCTCGGGGTGGGAGACCTTCAAGCTGTGGAGGATCGACGAGGACACGTTCGACCTCAGGGTGTTCGACAACCTGTTCGTCACCGTCGCCGGCGACGGGGTCACCGTCGTGGCGACGGTGGCGTCGCCGGGGCCCGGGGAGGCGTTCCAGATCGTGCGCAACGGCGACAAGACTCGCGCGCGCATCAGGGCACCCAATGGCATGTTCCTGCAGGTAATTAGGACGCCGAAAAATTGATTGATGTCACTGTACAAGAGTCACCTCTTGCATTGCATAATAGTACTCCAATGGCAACAAGTAGCTATAGCTAAGTTAGTAGTGGATTAGGCTGGGATAGATATATACATGTGCTGATGATAGCTGCCAACTTGCGAGCATGGTCCATATGCATGTTGGCTTGTATTGTTCTTTGAACAATATTGGTGACAACGACAAATGTGGCCAGCGCATTTCATGCAGATCAATAAAGATCAAGCTAGCTGGAGGATCAAATAATGTAGTGCTAAAAGATAGTTAATTAGTACTTAGTAATAATAAGTGATAAAGTTAGGGATGGCATGTTTAAAGTTAAAGCCTGTTATGAGCCCTTAAACTATGCAAGACTGTCATCCCATGTGACAGTTGAGACAACAAAACCTCTAACCATTAATTTTATTTATCTTTATTTCCTTCTTTCCATCCTTATGCAGCTAAGTTTTAACTTTAAAAAAATTAAGAGTCGTTGTTAATCGTAGCAACGATGTTTTATCTCCTATTTCTTTCTTTTTTTTCAGCACTAATTAGTATAGCTAAGAGTGTTATTATAATAACTGTTCTACATGTCCTAAGTGATAAAATGAGAAACATAGTTAGTAATATTAAGTGATAATAAAGCTAGCTATAGGGCGAATTAATCTACTTTAGCATGATGGTGACGGCTTCCTGCTTTTTTTTTAGCAAAGAGAAGTGAGCCAATGTTCCTTTGGACTATCTTTACATGGGTCAAAGGGATTCAACGTAGACAAAATAAACTCGAGCTTACTAAATCAAAGAGTCAAAGTGTTCGGCAGTCAAATTTTATACGGCTAAAATTAATTGTTTTTTTCTTGCCCGCTAAGCTTGACCAATACTATATATATTAGCTTGAAACATTTTTCGGTTTTTGTTGACTAATTACATATTTAGTCTAACCTGAGAAGGTATATTTAAGAGTAGAAGGTTAGTTAGTCAATTTGCTTCTTTACTGGTTAACTTATGTCAAGTGTAAAGGTAGAACCCGATAAAAACTCTTAAACAATACACATTAAATGATTGTACTTACAACGGTCATAACAATTAATAAAGACTGACCATTAATATAATATAAAACTATTACTGTTCTGTTCTTTTTCCAACCATCATGTAGCAACAATATTTATCTATCCACTCATTTTCTCTCTTTTGTATCAGCAAATATTCTTAACTAGTAAGATTAAAAGCCATATGCCTTTGTAGTGGTAGGTTAAGGGTTCCACTTGAGTCCTAGTTTTGAGGATTAATTTAGGTTTCTTAATCCCTTACAAACCATAGCCACTCGTTTTCTTTGCTTGGATGCATAGCATAGGTGGAATACAATATATCTCTTGTAGCTGAATTTAAATAGAAACGAAATATTGCTAATTAAATTCAGCAAGTCAAAATAAATTTTTAGTATGCCTTGCTAAATTTATTCTAATCCTTACCAAGATTATTTCTTTTGGTTTGATGCAAAATCTGAATCCTTTTTCTCTTGTGATGATGCTAGGCGAAGACAAGCGACTCAGTTACAGCAGATTATGATGGGGAGACAAATTGGGGCGACGATGACCCCTCTGTGTTTGTGGTCACTAGGGTAGGCGGTCTACAAGGGGAGTACCAAATATGCAATGGATATGGTAAAGCAAAGGCCACACAAGTGCTCAGGGTAAGACACATGTCAAACTCATTTCAGCTCCACTTGTTACTTGGACGTATGATACAAAACGTACAATTAAAGATATATAGTCTTGAATGGGGTAAATATCTGAACACTCGAAATATAGTAAAAGGAATATGCAAATTGCAGAACCAATTACTTGACTACTTCCTCCATATCCCAAAATAAATTAGCCTAGTACGAAATGCATCATATTCTAATATACTAAGTTGGTTATGACACATATTTCCCAAACAAAATTAGCCTAGTACGAAATGCCTGTTTGGAGGAGCTTAAGATTCTGAGAAGCAGCTGCTGAGAAGCTAGCTGGTGAGAATCTGGAGAAGCTGGAAAATCCAGCTTCTGGCTTCTAGTTCATTTCCAGATTCTACAACTACAGATTCTCAGAATCTAGACAAAAAGCTAGACTGTTTGGGGGGAGCTTCTCGAAGCTGCAGCTGCTAGAAGCTCCTCCAAACAAGCCCTAAGTTGGAGTATTACTAGGATATATCACATCCGTACTAGTTTTATTTTTTTAAGAATGGAGGGAGTATATATATGGCAAAAGAGAAGAAACATGAGGATAGCTCTGTTTTCATATATGTGCTATTGTTATACTCCGTCTGATTTTAAATTTATATTGTTGCTGATTTTTAGACATAACGTTTGACTATTTATTTTATTAAAAAACTTAGTGTAAATATAAATAATTTATACTTAAAATATCTTTAGTGATAAAATAAATCACAAGAATCAAACATAATTAACGTGTAAAGTTAATAGTATTGTATATTTAAATATAGAGGAAATATTAATGTAAATATCCTTATGATCGAAGTAAAATATGTTTGACTTGGTTAACCACAAACCAGTAAGATTGAACATAAAAAAAAGACTAATTGACCAACTTGAATTAATCTTTAGTATACCAACTTTTCAGCTGTTCAATTCCCAGAAAGTGATATTTATATTGGCTTCCATAGTCCAATGGGAAATGACTGTTGATGGGAAAAGCTCTTAATCTCTTGAAAACGATCCATGCATCTAGATACATACTAGCTGGCTTCCAAGTTTGGTTTTCAGTTGATGCATTCAATCCATTCTTATTCTTTGACAAAATTATATAGACAGCTGTCTCTGAATAATTAGGTACGGCGAGAACTGGTATAGTCAAATAATAATGGCTGCGCTATGAATAAACGTTTCCAGGAAGTACTTTGGACGAAATTGATGAAAACCATCTTAATTTTTCTACAAGGACCCGTCTGGTTTCTGATTTAGGTTTTGAGTCCACTCACATTTTCTCCAGTCCTAGGTATTCCATGAGAGAAATAGATCTCCCTCCGTTTTTTAATAGATGACGCCGTTGACTTTTTCTTATATGTTTGACTATTCGTCTTATTAAAAAATTTTATGCAAATGTATAAGATATAAATCACACTTAAAGTACTATGAATGATAAAACAACTCATAACAAAATAAATTATAATTACGTAAATTTTTTGAATAAGACGAAGGGTCAAACATGTGAGAAAAAGTCAACGGCGTCATCTATTAAAAAACGGAGGTAGTACTAGTCAACAAATGACAGCCAGGATATATATATAGATAAGCACACAGAAATCCTTGCATTTTGATGAGAATTACCTACATATCTCGTGATATTGATGCAAATTTTTTTTATAACAGGCAGATTGCCACCTCTTTTTAATTATTGCACATGTACAAATTATAAGTATATATCCTATTTTTTTGTGTTTTGCAGGAACACTGGCGCACATACATAGTTGAGAGCGACTTCAAGTTCATATCAACAAGTGGGCTAAACGCAGTGAGAATTCCAGTTGGATGGTGGATTGCTAGCGACCCCAATCCTCCTGCTCCTTTCGTTGGAGGATCCCTCCAAGCCTTGGATAATGCATTCAAATGGGCAGAGTAAGTGTATAATTGTTCCATATTTAGTCAAAATTAAAAGCATATGCTCATTTTTTTTAATTTCCAGCATAAGTCAAGTATGATTAAATTCTCTGTCTCCAACAATTTTGATTTTGGGGGAAGAATAAATTGGTTTGGAATCAGGACAATGAGCAGTCCCTTGATAGATGGTTGTACTTTACAAATGACAGAGATTTTCTATGCATGTGTCCTCCGTATGTACATTGCAGGAAGTATAATTTGGGAGTCATTGTGGACCTGCACGCTGCACCTGGGTCGCAGAACCCGTTTGAGCACAGTGCCTCCAGAGATGGTTCACAGGACTGGGGCACCACGGATGCCAACATCGCCCAAACTGTCCAAGTCATCGATTTCCTCACACACAGGTCACAATTTTAATTATTCCACATAGATATTTCAATTCACTACACAAAATAGGTTTAATTTGTCTTGTCTAGTTTATCCATTATCTCTTCGGAAGTAAAATACGAGGAATTTCCATTAATCATGAATGGTTTGTCCTAATTTAATTTACTTATTGTAAAATAAACAGTAAATTTTAGTAAGCTATAAGTTTTTTTTTCAAAACTATTAGTTTGCTGCAATTTTTGCTTGTCATTCCAAATAACTGCAAGTGATTGTAAGTCTATAATAATAGTATACTCCCTCCGTTTCTAAATATTTGACGCCGTTAACTTTTTTAAATACGTTTGACCGTTCGTCTTATTTAAAAATTTTAAGTAATTATTAATTTTTTTTCTATCATTTGATTCATTGCTAAATATACTTATATGTATACATCTAGTTTTACATATTTCACATATGTTTCTGAATAAGACGAACGGTCAAATATGTGCTAAAAAATCAACGATGTCAAATATTTAGAAACGGAGGGAGTATATGACAATCCGAAAGATGGTTCAACCACTAGGGGATACAGTTATAGTTTTAGAGCAATTCTACGGTTCTTAAGGAGATATCATGAGGTACCAAAATTTTCATGGTACATCATCGTACCTAGGTACCATGAGGTACCATGAGATACCAAATTTACAATAGAAAAAATGGTACTTACCTCCTCAAGGACCGTAAAATTGCTCATAGTTGTATGATAAACCCGTTGTGAAATACAGCACAAAACTAAAGTTGTAGCGAAATGATAGTTTCATTCAAATAATTATTATAGTTTGCTGAACTTTACTCTCAAATAATTAAATTACTCTACACAGATACGCGAGTAGCCCCAGCCTCCTGGCCGTGGAGCTCCTGAACGAGCCACTGGCACCCGGGGTGACTCTCCCGGCTCTCATGAGATACTACAAGGACGGCTACAACGCCGTCCGCAAGTACACCTCGACGGCGTACGTGGTCATGTCCAACCGCCTCTCCGCCAGCAACACGGAGCTCCTCGGCTTCGCCGCCGGCTTCCCCGGCGCCGTCCTCGACGTCCACTACTACAACCTCTTCACCAGCAGCTTCAACGGCCTCACCGTCGACCAGAACATCGACTACGTCAGGACCAACCGCTCCGACGAACTCAGCACCGTCACAAGGCCGAATGGGCCGCTGACGTTCGTGGGTAAGTTCATTTGCAAGTTTCTCTAGCGAATTTAATTACTTTCAACATGGAGCACTCGCTTCATGTTGAAAGTAAATGTCGTTTTGGAGGACACGGTCTCAAAGAAATAATTCTAATCAGTATTTTTTACTACAATATATGTAAATATTAACAAATATATTATTTTATTAAAGTGTATTTTAAGATTAATTTATATATATGGTCTTCATATTCAGAAGAAAAAAATATTTTAGAAGATATTTGTAGTCGAAATTCTTGAAATTTAATATTGGCCATATCCAAAATGACAATTACTTTCAACCAACCTAGAGAGGGAGTGAGTACTGTTTATACATGAAGATTACAAGTTCTTGAACGTGATCGATACATATATGTTGCTTAATTATATATGCAGGAGAGTGGGTGGCTGAGTGGAATGTGCAGGGAGCATCTAACCAGGATTATCAGAGGTTTGCACAAGCCCAGCTAGATGTTTATGGACGAGCTACCTTCGGATGGGCCTATTGGACTTACAAGAACGTCAACAACCACTGGAGCATGCAGTGGAATATCCAGAATGGGATCATCTCTCTCAAAAGCTAGAAATAATGACTAATAATTAAATATGTCTCTAGTTATCACCAATTAGAACACGTAAATAAGCCTAACCAAGGCCAATTAGTGAGTAATTACTGTTGCCTAATAATTGGAAATGTGTATGTACTTGCAGTCATATGTAATCCGTGAGCAAATAAGACGTTGCGGAAGCGCAGATAAAACGTCAGGTACTCAGGTTGAGTGTAACTTTCTCTTGTGAAGCTGAATTAAAGAAATAAAGATTCTTCTTCCTAGATGCTTACATTAATTGGAGGTTTAGTTCCACAACGGGAGGTGTTCTAGTATTATACTCGGTCAAATTTATTTTTAAGAGCAAATTTATACAGTAAAAAATAATTAACATCTCCAATACTAAATAAATACACTATCAGAACAACATGTTTTATAGTGGATTTTAATTAACATGTTTTAGAGCAAGTTTAATAGTATAGCCAACTAATAGCTTTAAATCATCTATAGTTAATTTAATAGCTAATTCATACAACAGTTACATACTACCCTATTAAATCTGGTCTCATCTATCATACACACACAATGTGTCTCAGAGTCCATACTATAGCTGGCTACAAATATGTAGCCGACTGCTTTTCTCTCCCCTATTTTATCTTCTTAAAATATGTGTATAGCTAGCTTATAATTTGCTATTGTACCTGCTCTTATAGTGGAGTAGTATTTACTTTTATATGTAACTCGATCAAAACTATACAAGTTCAACTTAGAATATAACTAAAAACGACATGTAATATGGAACAGAGGTAACAGAGATAGTTACCCGTTACCACGCTATGCTCTCTGTATCTCTGTCTAGCTGAAATGGCGCTGTGATGCTCCGTTCCCGCCGCAGGACAGCTCGCCCTGAGTCCCACTACTCTGGTGGATGCTCGCAGCGCCGAGCAGCCTCGCCATCTTCGCCGGAAGGCTCGCCAGCGCGGCGGAGATATCGGATTCCTCCCTAGCCGGCCTCTTGACGTCGCCGGCGGCCACCACCGAAGCCACCGCCGCCGGTGCCATCGCAGAATTGCTCTCTCCTGCTGCAGGCGCGGCAGCAGCAGCAGCACCCACCCGCCGCCGATCGACGACGTCTCCCGCTCCGACGAACACCACCTTGGGCCGCTTCGGGTGCCGCCTCGCCGCGTCCTTCCACTGCTCCTTCGCCGTCTCACGAACTCCGTCGTCAAGAACAATCTCCCTGAGGCACCCGAGCCCGAGGGAGTCGATCCTGATGCCTCCATGGCCGCAGGGGCCATCCAGATCCTTGCAGAGGAGATGGAACGACTCCAGATTCGGCAGGGCTCCCTCCTGGATCTCTGGCTGCTGCTTGCTCATCGTCGTCATGGACACCACCACGATGTGCAGGCGTCGCAGGCTCTGCAGATCGCCGCGTTCGATCACGAACCTGTCCAGGTGACGCGCGATCAGCTTCAGGTAACGCAGCGCGCGGACGTTGCTCAGGGCCGCAAGAACATCAGAGCTGAGGCGATCAGAGGATGAGAGGCACAGATCAGTGAGAACGGCCAGCGAGGTGACGAACGGTGGCAACCTGCATATCTTGTTTCCTTTCAGCTTCAGGGAGCTTAGGTAGCATGAATCTCCTAAAGAGAAGTTGAGAAATTCTTGGGAGCATTCGCCGACATCGAGAGAGAGTGATCGGACATCGTTCACATCTGTGCCTCTCTGGATGAACTCCTGAATGGCCTCTGACAGGTGAACATCAGAGTTGCTGCTGCTGCTGGCATCTGCGGTGTTCTCGCACCATATTTTCACCTTTGCCAAGTTGGTCATATGTTTCATGAGCTGAGGAAATGTTTGGCACCTATCGGTGACAAATCCGGCCAGTGTCTCCAACTTGCTTTTCTCCGTCAGGAAGGATTTGAGCTTCCTCATTTGCTGGTCAGCATCTTGGATCTTGAACACTCCAAACAGATGAATCAGACATGGCAGCTCGAGCACTTGTATGGGAAGAAACTTAATCACCGTTCGCCGTAAATCGAGCGTCTCAAGAAATTTCAGCTTTGCGATCTCCTTTGGAAGCACTGTAATTCCACGGCCGAGGCTTAGGTACTTGAGAAGCAACCGCTTGCATATCTTCTTCAGATGCTCGTCCTCCAATTCATCACACTCTTCGAGATCCAAAACCCGGAGAAGTTTATACCTGGAGAAATTCAGGAAAGACTTGTGCGCTTTTCCGAAGATCGTCAGAGACCGGACAAGGGACAGATCAATGTCTGAATCCACTCTGGTCTTACTACCACTGTTCTGTTGTATGGAAACGCAACGGATCTTGTCAGGCAGGCGAGCCTGACCGTACAGAAATGTGATGAAGTTGTCACATATGGATTTGTGCAGGATGAACTCAAGCATCATACCGTGAGTTTGGCAGGTCTTCACCTCAGTGTTGCTGCTCACATCAACAGGCTGGATGATGCTCCGGTTAACGAGCTCCTCGAAGCTGTCGATGGCGACATCTAGAGAGCTCCGGTGATGGTCTGCTCCCACGAATCCTTCAGCTGACCATCTCCTTATCAGAGTTTTTCTCCTGACAGGATGACCACTGGGGAAAATTCCCAGGTAGAGCAAGCAGGCCTTGATGACATGGCCAGGGAGGCTGCTGTAATGGTGAACAAGCACACGCTTCATTCTTGCTAAGGTGTCTTCTGTCACAAGATGCTTACCCAGGTTGTCGCACAGCTTTGCGCATCCCAGAGGCTGCTGCTGACATCTGCTTTGCAAGAATTGGGCTGTTGTGACGAGAGCAAGCGGCAGACCATCACATTTCTTCAGGATTGCTTCTGAACCTGGTGGGTAATCTTTCCATGATGCTTCTTTCAAGAATAGCTGTCTTGAGTGTTCCTCATTCAGGGTTCTCATCACGTACACATGGCTGTTGCGAGAGCTGCAGGCATTTGCTATGGACTGGATGGCCGTCGTTACGATCACAATGCTGCTCAGTCCCGTATCAGAAGGAAAGGCATTTCTGAAAGAGCTGTTCCAATATTCCCTCTGCATGTCGTCAATTACAACAAAGAACCTGAAAATAAGCATTCAGAATGGGTCACTTGGTGCAGAGTCAAAGGACAGTTTTCTGAAAAACTACATCAATAAGGTGACCAGATCTACATGCGTGATGCATATACAGGGAAATCAGAACTGTTAATGCATGCACACAGCAATTCATACATCTTTTGTTTACTCCTATTCTGGCTTTCTATCACACGGATTAAGGCGAAACTGAACTTGAGGGATACCGCATACATGTGATTCTTTCTGCACTTGAGGGCTAACTTTTTGTACTCACCTTACTCTGTATGACTGAAATGTAGATTAGTACTAAAATACGTTGTACCTTCTGATACTTCGTTTAAGTTGAGTATAAAACAAATCAAGAAAAACAACTCTAGTGCTCCTCAATCCCTCGTAGTTCTTGGAAGCAATTGCTTTCAGAGGCCGCAAAAGGTGTAGGATGAAGGACACACAACAGAGATTGATTTGGTAACAAACAGTAACAACAGTTGAACATGTCAGTGGTTGGTTTCTTACCTCTTGGATTCAAGGCAATTTCTGAGATTTACAACGAGATTGCTGGCATGGCAGTGATGTACCGGCATCCCCAGCTGCTGGAGAATGTCCATGAGGACATCCTCTGCGTTCTTCCCCGCGGCACGAACCCAAATCCGTGGATGGAATTGCGCGGCGACGGCGTCGCTCTCGTAGATTTGCCTGGCAAGAAGCGTCTTCCCTAACCCACCAAACCCAACAATGGAGATCACCTTGAGCTGGCCCTGGGTTTCCCCTATCAGCTCAAGAATCTCGTCCCGGGGCCCGTCCATCCCCACGATGTCAGATGCAAGGGTGTGCGCCTCAGACGACGACGCCGGCAGGGTCAACGCGGATGATCCTGTAGCCACCCAGCAGCTGGGCTCGCCGGCGGCGGCGGCGTAACTGGCTCTGAGGCGGGACAGCTCCTCGGATTTCCTCCTGAGCTCCTGGATCACGGCGGCGAACTTGGCGCGGGCGCCCATGGAGGCCAGGCCGTGGCCGGTGGCGCGGTGCACGAAGCGGTCGACGCAGTCCTCCATGTCGCAGGCCAGGTCGCGCACGCCGCGGATCCAGGCGCTCCGCACGTCGCCTGCGGCGGGCGGCGGGCGGCGGTCGTGCTCCTCGATCGCGGCGGCGATCATGGCGAGCTCGTTCCGGATGTAGTGGACGTCGCGCTCCAGGTCCCGCCGCAACAGGTCGTGCCCGTCACGGAGGAACGCGTAGAGCTTCGGCCCCAGCGTTCTGAGCACGGCGCTCAGCACCGCGGTCTCCATGGCCGCCAACCACAATCTGCTTGCGCTAGCGCTACTGGTTCTTCCCTCTCCACTCGAATTTTTTAGGACACACAAGAACGATAGGCAGCAACGAAGACCTCTCTCTAGGAAACCATGCCTGCTAGAGTTGACTCTTGACACCTTAATCCTAATTCCTAAGCTCGTCAACGGGCAACAGACAGAACGCTCAAGTCTCAACACCTTGGTCGTAGGCAAGATTTTTTTTTCTTTTATTCTCCTTTAAAAAGTGGGATTGGAAAAAAAAACGAATTAATAGAAAAACATAGGATTTTAAGAGAAATACAAGTGCAAAATACAATGTTATAAAACACATGAAAAACCATAGGATTTTAAAAAAAATATAAGGTTACAGAACACAGGAAAAACTTATAGGGATGGTATTTAATTAGGCAGGTTGGAGCTCATACTAACTATCCTTCAAAATCTCAATACGATTATCCAATCCATAAAAGTTTAAATATTTTGTATCAAATGCCTTCATAATATATTTTTCTCTGCTGGATTGAAATTCTCAAAAATTCGAATGTTTTGATTACAAATTAAATAGGACCCTAGTCTCGATCCCTTGTTTGCTAGGAATGCCTAGAATTTCTAAAGAGATTCGATGGGTCTAGATTTTTTGTGATGATCAAGGGCTGAGATAGTCTCCCAACTCCCACCCCAAAGCAGGTATTAAAAAGCAAGGGGTCACTCCTCAATTCCCCCAACCGCATCTCAAAATTCCATTCCCTCTTTATAATTTTCCCACCAAACGCACCCTCGATTCAGGAAATCGATAATAATAAAAGGGGATAGCACATGAGACTAAAAGTTGATGGATGTGAAGACAATAATTTAGACAGGTTCAAGACACCAACCGTAGAAGCAGTTGTGGCGGCCGGCGGCAAAGATAAAGTTATCAAGCAATGACGGCAAAGTCGCAAAACCATGGAGGCGAGAAGACCAATTGATGGTGGTAGAGGCGACCGACAGTGAAGACGAGGTTGCCCATCAACGGCGGTGGCGCAGTCCACCAACCGTGGAGGCGAGGATGCAAATCAACGGCAGATGATCGAGAGGACCTGAAAGCGAAGACTCCAGTCAGCGGAGGCAAAGGCGGCCGGTGGTTTATACGAAGAAGCCCATCAGCAACAACGTAATATGCCAGCCGTGAAGGCGAGGTCACTAGTCGGTGGCGGCAAAGGAGGCGGGCGGTGAAGATGAAGACGCATAGCAACGATGAAATCATGCAGCCACAGAGGCAAAGGCACCAGTCAGCAGTGGACGGCAGTGAAGATGAAGACACCCATCAGCGGGGGCATAATAGGCCAATCGTGAAGGTAAAGACACCAGTCTGCAGCGACGAAGGTAGCTGGCGGTGAAGACAAAGATGCCCATCAACGGCAACGTAATAGGCCAGCCATGAAGGTGAGATTACTAGTCGGCGACAGAATAGGGCAGTAGTAAAAGCGAAGATACTAGTCGGCGGAGGCGAAGGCGGTCGGCTGTGAAGACGAAGACGCCCATCAACGGCAACTTAATAGGCCAGCCGTGAAGGCAAGATCACTAGTCGGTGGCATTATAAGCTAGCCATGAAGGCAAAAACACTAGTTGGCGGAGGTGAAGGCGGCCGGCGGTTAAGACGAAGACTCCCATGGCGGCGGAGTCCACCAACCATGGAGGTGAAGCCACTTGTCGACAGCAATAATGCCGCAACATCACATGTGATTAATCGGTGATTAGAAATCAATCTAATGAACAATGATAAAGTGGAAGGGAAAAAAACCCAGGAATATCGGAAATTAAATATTCGAACTCGCCAAGATTGATCTCCATAACTGGATTGAATCCGAGTTGGAGAGAACGAGCTTGGAGCAAGTCCTCATGACATACGGGAAACCAAACAAGATTGAAGTGATCGTGAGCCTTCCTGACTAGTTTGAATTTGTTAACCACGAAAATTAGCATCAGATTCAGAGATGAAGAGGAAAATCAAAGCAGATTTGAGATAGAGAGCGCATCGGCTGGAAGCAGAGTCGGATTCAAATGAGCCGATATGGGAAGACAGCCGATACGGTTTCACTTGGGCTCGGTTTGGGCCTAGATTAAGATAGCTGATGTATTGCCGTATAGAGATAGAGTCCATTTAACGCAATTATATCTATTAATTAGGATATTGATACCGGCTTGAATTAGAGATATGGTAAGAGTCCGCCATATGGACTTTTTTTTTGTTTTTTTCCTTTTATCTCCTAAATTTGAGTCTTTTTGTTTTTCCTTTTGTCTTTAGGAAAGTTTGAGTCGTGTCTATAATGGACAGGTTTTGTAATTTGGGTATAAATATAAACCCAAGATCATGTAAAAAGGGACGAACATCCAATCAATACAACTTTCGGCGCATTGCCCCCTTTTTTCTTTTAAGTTTTTCGACGAGTTCTTGCTTCAAGTCGGGGCATCGGTTGCGATCTCTCAACAAGAGGTGACTTATACCATACAATCTGAAACGTGATTGATAAAAACAAGATAGATGGTATTATAGCCGATGGGACATATTTAGGGTTTGCTTTGTTCAGTTCATCATAAAGATTGAGCCAATTTGGTTTAACTGCATCGGCTAAACCCTAACGATACGACATCGGCTTATCGGTCGATCGGCTATCGTTCATCTAACTATATTTGTTGTTTCATTGCTAGTTGTAGGATCAAATCAGCTAGCACGCTCTTGACACTTGAGACAAGTCTTGTACCTGCACTGGAGTTAAGCAAATCTCCCGGGCTGTCGTATTTTGCAGTAACAGAATCCGAGTTAGAGAGGGGAAGCTCGCCTAAGTCGCCGGCAAAGAAGTCGAAGCTCCCAAAGTGGAAGGTTCGCCCTAGGGCGAAATTGAATCCAACGACGTCGATGATTGGCTCCGTCGCACTTGTCGACAGGAAACTCGGCGCAACCCCTAGTTGGTGCGCCAACTGTTGATTCTAGAAATCGGCAATAATAAAAGGGGTAGCCCTCGATACCTAAAAGTGTATGGATGCGGAGATAAGGATTTAGACATGTTCATACTCTCTCAATGAGAGGTAATATCCTACTCTTGTTTAGGTATTGTATCCGCTGAGTGTAGTATTGATCTGGCGATCTGACTGTGGTTATCTTGCTATCTCTCCTACTCGCTCTGTCAAAAAAAGACCAAGCAATATATACATTAGTTTATATTTAATTGAACTAATTTCTTGTCATAGATATCATTAAAATTTTATATACACTTGATCAAATTTTGAAAAAAAAGTTAATTAAAAAAATATCAAAGCGTCTTATATTGAAAGTAATAGACGTTGACCCATTGTACTGGGTCAAAACATGCTGATAAGGTAGATGATCATGTCCCTCGGGAACGAAAAGCTCTTGCTGTGTCTTGCGCCGATCCGTCTTTGGTCTCTGCGGCCTTCACCAGTGCTCTTCCAACTTCCAAGTTCCGATAGCTGGGTTCGTATCTTCATTGGGCTGCGATTTTCTCGATACCGTCCAGGATGAATCTCATCCAATTTGCTTTTCTCTATATTGCTTGATACAAGCAGCTCGGTGAGTATATCCATCATCGTTCTCCCCATTTTCCCAGTTCTTCAATCTGTACTCCATGGTTGATTCGATCTCCGTCCTCAGGGATGGAGGCCCCGCCCCTCGCCGCCCCGATTTGTGCTTCACAGGGAGCCATGGGATCCCTTCTTGGGAAGATGGAGGAGCTGCTTGTGGCTCCCGATGGCAGCAGGCTACCCAAGGGGGTGAAGGATCGGATGCTCCTCCTGGGAGGCGACCTTGGAGTGGTCGCCGCGTACCTCGCCGATCTGTCGGAGCTGGAGGACCCTCCCCCGACGGCCAAGCGCTGGATGAGAGAGGTGCGCGAGCTGTCCTACGACATCGAGGACTACATCGACGAGTTCTGCGCAGCGCCGCGGCCTGGCCGCCGCGCGAACACCATGGCCAGATTCGTCTGCAGAATCGGCCGTGTCAAGGTTGCTCGTCTTCCCAAGAGGCTCAAGAGGCACCAGCAGATGGGGAAGATGGTGTCGCAGTTCAGGATTTATGTTGAGGAGGCCATTGAGCGGCATGGGAGGTATGGTCTGGATTGCTGCGACCACAGGCGGAGATATGTGTCATTTGGCCCTATGTTGCCATCTAGGCCGTATGGGGAAGAAGATGCCCAGCTAGTGATTGATGGCCGGGTGAGCGAGTTCATCGAGCGGCTCGCCAATGATGAGGATCAGAAGCTCAAGGTGGTGTCTGTTGTTGGATCTTCAGGTATTGGTAAGACCACACTTGCCAAACTGTTGTACAACAGAATTGGGGGACAATTTGACTGTCGAGCTTTCGTCCGGATCTCCCGGAAGCCTGATATGAAGAGGGTTTTCCGCGAGATGTTCTTTCAACTCCAGCGGAAGCAGCCACCTGACGATTATAAGGAGCTTGCGCTTATTGACAGCATCAGGGAGTATCTTCAAGATAGAAGGTATACTTTACTAAGTAGTGCCTCTTGTGTCCATTTTTATATCAGTGCTAGAACTTGGAACATGCCAAAGAAACCAATCCATCACAAAATGCATCAGATCCTTTGGTTGCCAATAGTCCATGCATCAATTCTGTACATAGATAGTACTCCCTCCGTTTCATATTATAAGTCGTTTGACTTTTTTCCTAGTCAAACTTCTTTAAGTTTGACCAATTTTATAGAAAAATATATTAGGATTATCAACACAAAACAAGCATATTATCAAAATATATTACATGTTAGATTTAATGAAACTAATTTGATATTTTAGATATTGCTAATTTTTTTATAAACTTGGTCAAACTCAACAAAGTTTGACTAGAAAAAAAATCAAACGACTTATAATATGAAACGGAAGGAGTACTAAGCAAAATAATCTAGAGAATAAATAGGATATGGTCTAAGTCTCTAGACTTCCCTATGATAATTGCAATGATTTCCCCATCTTGAGATTCTAATTTGTTTGAAGTATATAATCCTATGCTTATATATAGATTATCCAAACTGAAACTAATGTACATTCCGAAATCGAGTTCTTTATTTTCATTCAATTACTCACAGGGGTGCATACACTAGTTATCCACTCTTATTTATTCTGTTTAATGATGGTACTATTTTTAATGATTCTTGCAAAACTGCTCAATAGAATGACCGTTGACCATTGATTATTGGGGATACATATTCTCAAGGGCCATACCTACAGCTATGTTAATGGGGATGTGGTTTTTGATAATAAGCCAATTTGGCCACTTTAGCTGGCCCATTTGAATTCTATTGCATATACCGTCAAGCAATACGTAGACAGACACTATTGCATAACAGTTTGGACTCTATAGTGAACCCAACATTTATAGGAAGGGTCAAAATTTGAACATCTTTTCCATTACATCTCTTCCTGTAAAACTTGCTTCCTCATTTATTTACTTATTCGATTTATATATTTCTCATGAATGTTACTATATTAGCTGAAAAAATGTATCTAATATGCATAAAATATTGCCAGGTATTTAATTATTATTGATGACTTATGGGCTGCCTCCGTATGGGATCTTATCAATCAAGCTTTTCCAGAGGTAATTCTGAGCAGCAGGATAGTAATAATTACACAGGTTGAAGATCTTGCATTAACATGTTGCTGTTATGACACCGAATATATTTTTGAGATGAAACCCATGGATGATGAGCACTCAACAACGTTGTTTCTTCAGAGATTTTTTGGTTTTGTAAGTGATTGCCCTCAACAATTCAAAGAAGTTTCAAACAAAATTGTTCAAATATGTGGTGGTTTGCCTTTAGCAACAATCAGCCTAGCTAGCCTTTTAGCAAGTCAGCCTGTCATCTTAATGGATCTATGTTTATACATACGTAATTCTTTAAGCTCTGCTTTTAGGACAAATTCTTCTATAGAAGGAACGCGGCAAGTATTAAACCTCAGCTACAATAATCTTCCTCATTACTTGAAGACATGCTTGCTATATCTTAATATGTATCCAGAGGGTTATAAAATATGCAAGGATGATGTTGTGGAAAAATGGGTGGCTGAAGGTTTTATTGATCAAATAGAGGGCCGAGACTTGGAGAAAGTTGCAGGGAGCTATTTCGATGAACTTATTGACAGAAGATTCCTCCAACCTAGCAGACTCAACTACAACAATGAGGTGTCAACTTGTACAATTCATGATGAGGTACGAGATCTTATTGCATACAAGTCTGTAGAGGAGAACTTTGTTCTGGTATTAGATTTTTACCGGAAGGATGTGGAACTTTCTGATAAAGTTCGTCGACTTTCTGTCCACTTTGGTGACATAAAGTATGCAAAAATACCAACAAACATCAGAACATCAGAAGTTCGATCACTTACATTTTTTGGATTATGTAAGTGTATGCCTTCTCTTACAGAGTTTAAGCTTCTTCGTGTTCTAAACCTTCAATTATCTGGTCATGTTGGTGATGAACTCTTAGACCTCAGTGGGATTTCTGAACTATTTCAACTGAGATATTTGAAGATTGCATGCGATATTCGCACAGAACTACCAAGCCAAATGCGAGGGCTAAAATATTTAGAAACGTTGCAGATGGATACAACACTCACTGCTGTTCCTTGGGATATTATCTTTCTCCCGTGCTTGTTACACCTCCATCTTCGTTTTGATATGAATCTGATTGATTTGATGGGCCACATGACACCTCCCAGCGAACTAGGATCAAGCAGTAGTAACTCATCACCCAGTGGGGGCATCATTAGCAATCTGAACAACGTACGGGATATTCATCTCACCTTCTGTGCACTGCCTTCCAAACATCTAGAGAGAAACATGGAAATTTTGGGCTCTTTGCTTGGAAGACTTGGTAATCTGAAAAATCTAACTCTAGTTTCTTCTTCCTCTCAAAAGAAAATTGCGGCTTCAGGAGCCTCAGAAGTAACTATTTTGTGGGATAATTTGGCACCTCCACCTCTTCTCCAGAGATTTGAGTGGTTGCTGCACAGCTGCATCTTTTACAGAGTTCCTAAGTGGATTGGAGAACTTGGCAACCTATGCATTTTAAAGATTGCAGTAAGGGAGCTTGTAAAGAACAGTGTTGATATTCTCAGGGGATTGCCTGCCCTCATGGCTCTATCTTTGAATGTGCACAGAGCATCTGTAGAAAACATTTTCTTTGATAAGGTAGGATTCTCAGTTCTCAAGTACTTCAAGTATAATTGTAGTGTACCTTGGCTGAAATTTGAGGCAGGGGCAATGCCTAATCTCAGGAAGCTCAAGTTAGGTTTCAGTGCCCTTGGGGATCTATATGGTACTGCACCTATCAGGATTGGACACTTGTTAGGCCTCAAAGAAATCTCAGTAAAAATTCATGGTGCAAGTGTCGACGCAGAGTCTGCATTGACATCTGCTGTTAGCAATCACCCAAGCAATCCTAGAATCAACGTACAGTTGGTGGATAAGATTTTTTATGGTGATAGAGTGACAAAAGAGAAAGATCATGGGTCTGAGGAAGAACAAAATGCTATCATGAGCGCCAACTTCGATGAATATCATCAAACTCAAGATAAAGAGTCAAGTGATGCGAACAAACAAGTTGGAAGTATTGTGCCTCTGCCACGGGAGCAAGAACATGGGATTTTAGAACATGATGAGTATGCACCAAAAGACCCAGATAAGTACAAACAATCTGATATCAGGTATGTGCATTCCATCTAAAAGATTTTTTTTTTGAGGAAACCATATAAAAAGATATAATCCACTTTTGCTTCACCTTCGATCTTCTACATGACTTCCTATGCATTCCTACGTGTTCAACCCTAACTTTACTGTGGTGAAATGGTTGCTGTTGTCAGGTCTGTATCATCAATGTATCCGTGGCATCTGAAGTTTCTAGGTAATCTTCTTGCATTTCTTAGTCCGTTGCTTCTAACTGATTCTGGCTGTCAATGTTGTATTCATATGCAGAAACATTAGCATTTTGTACATAAACTAGTAGAGTGGCCTGCTCAATTATACATTCAAAATTCATTTCTGTGTCTCTACTGATCATGGACAACCACGATCATGAAACTGACTTCGTTTACTCCTAGAGTCTTTCTGGAATAAGAAAAAAAACATTCCCCAACTATGAAACCATTTATTTTACTCCCCCCTAAACATTTGATAAAAAGCTGACGACCAATGAATTATAGCTTCTTACAGAAAATGAGAGATGTAGCTATTCTAATCAAATGACTTTTTTAAAAGGTATGGATGTGTCAAATTTGAATGGTACGTCTGCCTCATAGTGAAATTCCTCTCTTTACCAAGGGAGAAAAGATCTCAACAATTTCGCACTAATTTAACTAGAAATTGAATGTACAAAATTTTTAATGGAAATTAGCAGTGTATCTTGTGTCACCGCATGGATAAATTTGTTACTCATATTGTTTTTAATAGTTAACACTTTTGTCCAAGAAACTTTCCTGCAAAAACTTGGCACTGATAACAAAGTTTTTTAGATAACTGAAATGGAGTACATCTCCAGCCTCTGCCATTAGGCATGTAGTCATTGTGTTTACTAATAAGGAAGTTTAGAAACCAAAATAGTTCTTAGTTTAATTACCTTCTTGGGAATTTAGTTTGACCACTTGCCAAATTATCAACAAAACTAGCTCAATTTGCACCACACCAATTTACAATTGATCATGATCATTTTTTCTGGTAGGAATGCCACCCTTCAAACTAATTTTTGCATCTTGTTTTATTTCTTCATTGTACAAATCCAATAAGTGTGTAAAAGTCACACAATTTCTTTCCCCTTCATGTTGCCATAACTCGTTTTAAAGGGCAAATTGATCTGCAGCATATGTTTTCCATAGGAAACGATATGATCGATTTTGACTCATTGCCTGTTAGCTTGACAAAATTATTGCAAACTCTTGCACTCCGAATAGAGCATCAAACATTGCCTGAAATCACTTGTATTTGCACAATTTAGGCAAGTTAGTTTTCACAGAAGAAATGAAACCAGCAATTGAGTTAAAGCATTTCTTGTTAAAAAAAGTTAGTCGATATAGCGGAACGACGACTAACCTTCCCGATCGCTTCAGTCATTGATCGCCCAAGACATACCAGATGACGACATAGGAACACACGATATTTGTTAACGAGGTTCAGCCGAAGCCTACATCCCCGGGGCTTTGATTATGGACGCTCCTCCCCAACCAATATACTCCCTCCGTTTCACAATGTAAGTCAATCTAGCATTTCCCACATTGATATTGATGTTAATGAATCTAGACATATATCTATCTAGATTCATTAACATTAATATGAATGTGGGAAATGCTAGAATGACTTACATTGTGAAACGGAGGAAGTAGCTCCTAACCGCTACGAGTCCATGGCCACGCCGCCATCATCTCCCTGCGTGTCTACGCTGCATTGTAGTCGCCATGGTTACGTTGTGGTGCTCCCCTCTCTATTTAAGATAGTTCTGCTGCATCGAATCTTCCTAGGTTCTGCTTTACCGAGCCCAAGTTCCCGTCGGATTCTGTTCCAACAACCGAGTCTAACTCAATTCAAGTACACACCTTTGGTTCTAATGACCGCATAAACAGAAACCAACTCAACAGTCGTGTCTGCTTGGGTCTCTTCTGCTTTCCCTTGCTCACGTACCTCTTCCTCCTAGCAAAAACCCTGCCGCATCATGCTCATGCAAAAATACACCCATGTGCCTCAACGTCCTCATCTAGCCTCCCATGCTTTAATCTCAGCAATGTAGTATATGCATGTGCTTGACAACATGTCATGATCACCTTGCACAGGCCACTCTTTATTAGTGCATGCAGCCATGATGATTTTGTGTACATCGTGTCGCATGAAGGCATTTCCATGCGATGTGCTCGACTCCATCCAAGTTGTACGCAAAGAACAATACCTCGTACTATTCGTCCATGCCTCCGCACGCACCGCAGTCGCAGCCCTCGTGTTCACTGTCCACGACCTTGTCGCCATCGGCCCTGCACGTCTGCCGCGCTGCGCCACGCTCGTCGGTTTTGCCCTTTCGCCGCTAGCCTCCTTGCCGCTGCGGATCCACGACCACCGCGTGCGTCAGGCGTGCCGTCCATGACGCTACCCCTCCGATCTCTCCGGTCGCCTTTGGCCACGCCCGGCCCCGTCTTCCGGTCACGTTCCGCCATCGCCGGTCTGATCGCGAGCAAGGTCATCGCCTCCGCGACGTCCTCGTTGTCGCCATCGATCTCATCGTCACAGCTGACAATCTCCTGCTGATGCGTGATCCCCACCTCGTGTTTCCTCCTCCACATGTCTTCTTGATCCAATACTGAAACCTTCTGCTCTGATACTACTTGTTATAAAAGTTAGTCAATATAGCGGAACGACGACTAACCTTCCCGATCGCTTCAGTCATTGATCGCCCAAGACATGCCAGATGACGACACAGGAACACATGGTATTTGTTAACGAGGTTCAGCCGAAGCCTACATCCCCGGGCTCTGATTATAGGCGCTCCTCCCTAACCAATATAGCTCCTAACCGCTACGAGTCCATGGCCACGCCGTGATCATCTCCCTGCGTGTCTACGCTACATTGTAGTCGCCATGATTACATTGTGGTGCCTCCCCCTATTTAAGAGAGTTGCTGGGTTACAGAGTCCGACTCTAACTCTACCCCCTACCACCTATTTCAACTCCAATAGGACTGGTATATTTGATACCTATTCTAACATTTCTTTTCCATGCTCCAACTTGAGTTGAACATGTATGCCATATATCTTTTTTTGATATTGTCGTTGGGGAAGTACTCGTGTAAAGTAGAACCTTTTTAGCCTCAAGGTGCTACCGAGAGGTACCACATTGACACATTCTGTAGTATAAAATTTAGTACTACCTCCGTCCCATAAAAATTGAAATTTTACCTTTGAACCTTTGTCCCATAAAAGTTATATTTCTACTGATGTGGGACCCATTAAACTGATTACATTTCCTTGTAATCTTCTTTCCTTCCATCCCATCTCTAACCCATTGTCTCAACATTCCTTTTAATCAAGTTTATATATGGAATGTGTGCATGTATTGTGTTTATTAAATAGGGTTACTGTAGTCATTTGTCTATCCTGCTAATATATCCTTAATTCCCTAGAAATTCAATTTTTATGGGATGGAGGTAGTACCTCTTTTGGTGAAAAAAAAAAAGAAGGTACCTCTTGGTATGTCCATAGTGTTGAGGTACCAGGAGGTACCACAGATTAATACTAAAAAAACGCCCAGTAAGAATTGCAAAGTCACTCACTAGTGCATGTGTTATGCCTCTGTTGTCTGATTTGGTGATTTGGTCTGCCTTGGAACATTTGTGGGTCTTTGATCTAGCTACATTTACGACCACCATGATTGACAATTAACATCAATCACGAGCACTCTGGCTGGTTGGGGGTCAAGCCAAGATGTCAATGATGCCACTGGAAAAGATTGACCTAGCTCGTGTGGTTGTTACTTTAGCAGTGCTTCTGGTTATTTAAACAATGTGTTGGCTGTTTCGCGAGCAAATGTGGTGATATGTGTCATGTTGCAATTACTGTCATCTTAAAATGAACACATGCATGTTTTCCTAACAAATTCAACTCTTCTGAACAATTCTTGACTGAAATTTCATGTACTATGAATTTGGAACATTTTAATCCACTTTATTGAGAAATTTTTATGACCTTCCTATGCAAAATAGGTGCCTTATCAATCCATGGAGGCACAAGACTTGCAACAGCACCAAGAAAGGCAGAAGATGCATACATCTCATATGCCATGAAGGGGAATATGCAAGACTCGGTGCACATGCCTGATTCTAGCTGCTACCTCTCAATGCTTGTCCTACCCATGGCGTTGGACATGAAGTCACATCTATACGAGTCCTTCGAGGTCACCTTGGCTCGTGCCAACACATGGCTCTATGCCTCGCAGGCCTCTGGTGTCCCCATCAAGTTGATGAGTGTGCAGAGTGATGATCTTCTCACCAAGGTGCAGATACAAGATTTCAATTTCATGCATTACACATGGACACATAATCTCACACAAGATTCGACTTGGTTTGATTCTACATGGTTTTAATCTTCACTCTCCATAATGTACAGATATCGAGAGTTGGAGACGCCACATCTGCAACTGTCAATTCAGGGTTGTTGCCTGATCTGTCAAATGCAACCTTGGAGGATTACCAAGGCTATAACACTGAGGTGGTGAAGGCAGCCCGACTTTGGTACAGCTCCATAGGAGGAGAAATGCCACTGGAGATCACTCCTAAAGTAGGTGACACAAAACTAGGATTTGCAATCAGCCGTACTGAGGAGGTAAGCTTTCTGTCGCCACTTCCAGAATATCGACAATATTATGCTTCATCAATTAAGAACAAAAGAGTTATACATCAAACATTCCATGACACAATGTTTCTTTCAGGGTTTTATCTACATATCTTCAGTGTTGCAAGATGACAATGACAGCGAGACACCGTCAACACGGTCAGGGATGCACAATCTGTTCAACCGGGCAAGAGAGGCATCGAAATTGCTGGTCATCTCAAGGGTGTCCAATGAGAAGGTCCTGCCCTGGATGATCTCTAGTTCAGGGGCAATCCGCTGCTTTGACACTCTCTCGATCAGCCAAAAGCTTTCCTTGAGCCGATACCCATTGTGCTCCTTCCAGCTGCATCTACTCATGTGGGAGAAGCCTATTCATCCTGCCGAGAGAAGCATTCATCGCCCAAAAATGCCTTTTTTTTTTTGAAAGAAGAAATGCCTTATTCATTGATACTCGATCCAGAACCTCATCAAATTATACCTAGAGTAGATGCTGAAGAGGGCAGAGTGGCGCACCTGAAACACAGGATGTCATCATCACTTGTTACAACTTCTCCAGAAATGAAAGAAACATAAAACAAGATGCTGCAGAAGTAGATGTATTTCAAAATTTCAGTTTGCGTCTGTTGTTTGTTTTTAAGAGTCTAATTAAGTTAGATGCTTCGCTGATCTATAAGCATTGTGGCCCTAGTTTAGACTCTTTCGCCGTGATGCATGCACGTTGGGGGTGGGGTTGCCGGGGGGGGGGGGGGGGTGTTAATAATCGCTTGGAAAGGTGATATTTTCCATGGGGACTTGGTGCACGCTGGGATTTGGTCTGTGACAGTCCAACTGGTACTTATCTTCAGTGTATGGGCCGCAAGGAGATGATGAGAAGCTGCTTTTCCCGGAAGAAATGACAACAATCCGGGAAGCTTGACCTGGGAAATGGATGATTACAGGGGATTTCAATTTAATTGCCTCAGCTGTAGACAAGAACAATGCTAGAAACAATCGCTGATTAATGAATACTTCGCAGCAAGAAAGGAGATGTATTTATTTGGAAGAAGATATATTTGGAGCAATGAGCAACAGCGACCAACCTTGGTGAAGCTGGACAGGCTGTTTTGTGACGACACAGTGGGAAGAAGTCTTTCCAAATGTGCAGGGGAATGGACTACGGAATGGGGGGTGCAAGGTGCAAACGACGATGACCGCACGAATTTTGCTGATGTGCAGATGGACGTCTATGGTCAGGCCTCATTTGGTTGGGCTTTCTGGAGCTACAAGAATAATATTATTATAATAATAATAATAATTACACTAACTGGAGCATGAAGGATATGATCGAAAAACATATAATTTCGGTGCCACAGAACTAAGACAATCAGTCTGAATTGGGTGTCACCAGAGCTATATGAACTGAGTACTATGAATAAACGATTTGCATGGACAAATTGCTTGAAACATCTTACTCTACTGTTATACCATTATAAGTTGTACTGTGCTCTGCACTATAACTGAGTCGTGTCAGCCATCTGTGATTCGAGGAATGAAAGTTGCAGTTGCTTCATGTTGGGATTGTATAATCTGTACTTTGCTGAGTTCTATTGGGTCATTGTTTGCATGGAAGTATGATTGGATCTATAGTTTTACTAGTTCATGTGACATAAGTTTCCACTAATGACAAGCCTGTTTGTGCTAATGGACTGCTTCAAGAATCCAACATGGAATTTAAAGTGTATCGATGCTGAAACTTTCTTGGTCTCAACCCTCAAATGGGCAATACATACGATCCATGCCAACGCAAAAATGTTTTATGTTTTTTTTAATCAAGACATGTAAGGACTGCAAAATTTTGTAGGTTTTTTTCTGATTAATTATTACAGGTAAAATCTACACTCAGATGGTACTGAAGAATTTGAACATGATTGAAAATATGCGTAAAATTTTTCGGGTCACAAATGAATCCAAATATCAAAAAAAAAAAATTCCATTGAGTTGCATCCACATGTACTATGTATGTAAATGTGGTGCACTACTCCTGATGGGCATATGCCATGAGCAAAATCTCATACATGTTTCAGGAATTAGGATCAAGGAGACAGTTTGTTTCAACTCCAACCTTGCATTAACTATATGTTGAAATGTAGTATAAACTTAATAAATGACACAACAAATGGGCTTATGCATTCCTGCCCTAAACTAAAATGAGATCCAATCCAACTGCTTTCCTTCAAGGCTACCTACAACATGCAGCACACATGACTTGCTGATGCTCACCCCCATTGACTCCATGAGGAAGGAGTGACGTGTCAACCACAGATTGGAGATTTGTTTGCCTATTGTTCTGAACTTCTGAATCTCCTCTTTTTTTTTCAGGAAAGGAGACCAGTACTAGTGTACTACTGTACTCATATGGAATAAGGAATGGAATGAAACCAAAGTCCAGATTAATTAGTTGGTCAAGAAAGTTCTGGCATGGAATCTTTCATCTTCAAGCTCAAGAGAAGAATAGCTATGTATCTTATTCTGAAACTACCCAAAAGTTACAGGAAACAAAAGACTTTAATTTAGTTTGTTTCTCTTGTTTGCCGACATAGCACAAGGGGAAGATCATAAAAGAGGGAACTTGAGAATGGATGTTTCTGCAAAAGAACGATGTTTTACTTTTTATCAATGGAATTGTCATGATTAGGGTTGATTATTGTAGTTCTTCTGTTTCCATTTTCACTGAAGAGCTTGATATATCTGTTCTTGTTGTTTTACTCTCTCTCAGATGAAGCTTTGCATCAAAACTTGCATATAATTTTGAGTTATCCTATGAAACAAATATTCAGAAAAGCAAAGATTGAATGATTAATAGTCATTCGCTGTTAATGTTTGTGCACTTAGATGTCTGAACATACAGATCAATACTTTTTTTTTTTACAAAAGAAGGAGTTCTTTTTTTTCTCAAGAAAGCATATATATGAGGTTATCTGATTTCATCATATATAAGAGAGGTAAGATGATAGCATAGCCATAGGCTGCCTTCAATAGTCAACATTTCTTTTCGCATTTCACCATCTTTGAAATTGCTTTTCCAAGTGCAGAATTAGCAACCACATGGCCATATTATTATTATATTTTACACCATATGAAAATTGTGGGTTCTCTTCTAATAAAACAAATATTCTACTACCTATTGCGAGTGGGGAGAGAACCTTTTTATCCATTGGGCTTTTCTCACGCCCCCAATGGAACAATTGAAGTCACTATGAAGCATGCTTTGTGCCACTAGAGCCAAAAATTCCAACCAATATGAATTAAGATGCCCACTCATGCATACAATGATACAAAAAGGTTATCTTCTAACTCATCCTTTTGTCAACATCAAAGCATATTCAACGCACAAATTGATGTGCCATCCATACTATATATGTGCTAATAATTTATATACCCTTGGTGTTATCCTTAGTGCTACTTTATGGAGTTGAATTTGGTTGATGTTAACCTTTTGGTTACAAAATCTTGTGAACATATGAGCAATTATGATTGTACTTCGGATCCTATTCAAACATCAAATTTTTGTCTGCCGTCCCCGGCCGACCAGCTTTGATTAAAAAGTGCTTAATTTATTGGAACATTGAACATAGTTAGGCCTGCATCATATGCGTCCACTCGCGTCGAAGGAAACAATCAAACAAAACACTGATTATTAGAAACAGACAAACCAAATTAACAATCTGCAGAAGTTAATCTTACTCTATCTGTGTGTACTTGTTTCTGGAAAGCAAAGCTGCAGAAATAATTGGTTCCATGAACAAATTCAAATTCGAGTTTGATTCGTCTCTAAAAAAAATCGAGTTGGATTTGTTACAAAAGTTACTGAACAGTGCACCCTGTAAAAAACATTTCGGAATGCACAATGGGGCAAAATTTCAGAAAACCATGTCTGCAATTTGCCATTAGTTTGACCTTGTAAGTTATATACCATGCAGAATTTCTCAAAATTTTGCAAATTTATATATCTCCATGTGACCGCCATGTGTAGGAGTTGGAAACTTTTTTCCTTGAGAATTGCCATGTGTAGGGAGGAGCAGGACGCATGAATTTGAAGCCATATGAGACAGCAATATCCAAGATCTGAGATCCAACATCTTTATCCAACTTTCCAAGCAAGATCAGGTCCTCTCTCCGGTCCTTCACTCCTCCACAACGAACAAAAAGTGCACTTGTAAATGCCCACTCACATGCATATGCATGCTCTGCATTGTGCTCATGGATTAATTTGTCTGTACGGCAAATTTTTTGCTCTTTTTTCTTTTCGCACTTTTCGACTTTTCGTACCAGACAAGAATGAGATTAATTGATAAATCTTAATTCGCGTGAAATTGTGAAATTTGCATCCCTTCAGCTTTGTTTCAGCACCGAACTCTTGGTTGCATACCTTCCATTCAGATACGAGGCGATTTACAGATTTTTTTTTAAAAAAAAACATGGAAGTTTTTTGTCAATCATTTACATCAAAATTATAAAACAATGTTGAGAAATACTAAGGACATAACTTAGATGCATACAACCAGATGCACACCCTGCATGCTGTTGAGTTGTGATCCAAATTCATTTGTATTTAATAAAGGCCAGCTTCTGCCGTGCACCTGGGGACGTCCGGGGGTGCGGGGGCGGAGCCCCCGCGGTAAGGATCGTCATCCTTTTTAGGATTCCACCATATATATACCTCTTGTAATCCACCGTGCGGCGATGTAACCTCACCTCAGATATAGTGAAGATATTTTGCTGGCTGGCGCCCGTGGTGTTTTTCTCTCCTGTTTTGGGAGGGTTTTCCACGTTAAATCTCGTGTCTTCTGTGATTGATATCGTCATCCTTTTTAGGATTCCACCATATATATACCTCTTGTAATCCACCGTGCGGCGATGTAACCTCACCTCAGATATAGTGAAGATATTTTGCTGGCTGGCGCCCGTGGTGTTTTTCTCTCCTGTTTTGGGAGGGTTTTCCACGTTAAATCTCGTGTCTTCTGTGATTGATCTATTGTTCTTTATCGTTTGTTCGCCTATCGTTTCCTAACACACGCTAGTTTTTATAATAAAAAAAATGTCCAAGAAATACTAAGAATCATCAATCCGTAGATTAGACTGCTCCCATGTTAAAACATCCTCTTACCACCCGTTCCAAATACCGAGACATGTAGATGTTACCATATTTTTCTTTAAACCCATCCTCTTCTCTTGATATTTTTTTGGTGTTGAGATACTGAGCGATACCATAATTTAACATTATAGTGCATTATTTTCCGAGGATCATAAAAATCATAAATCCACCAAGCACTGAAAAATGGGTGGATCGGAGTACAGAGAGATCATTCAGAACACACTGTGAGAAATTGAGAACACATTCAGAAACACAATGAGACAAAAGAAGAAGAAAACATTCAGAATCATAGTGAGACAAGAGAAGAAAAGAATAGAAGTGGCATGTTGGTTAGGGGGGGGGGGTGTCAGATGTAAGTGGATTGATGATAACTTGTTGCTTTGCTAGCTAGCTACATATCCAAACATTACATAAAACTATATATGTATACTATACACTAGTAGTGCTTCCAGAGTGTACACCCCCACTGATCACATATAGTTT